GTTACTTTTATACACATTGATACAATGTTGGGAATTGTGTGATTATCAGGTCCAATTGATATTCTTAGTTTCAGTAACTAGTGTATATTCACATCTGAGCAGAGCAACTTTCAGGCTTGATGCACACCAGCGTGTGCACTTTTTTAACCTCAAAAACCACTGGTAATAGTGTTTTTAGTAGTGGTTTAGTAGCATTTAGAAGCGCTAGCATTTTATTAGCGTTTTTACAATACATTTCTACTCCTAGACGCTGAAGCTCAAAAAATGCTAATAGCATAATGTAGTCTGCAGCTTCTAAGAGCCTAAAAAAAAAAAAAACAGGTGTGCACGCAGCCTTAGGTGTAAATTTTATCTGAGCATTTTCACTTTTATTGCACATATAGATGGGCATATTTGAAGTGTATTTAAAGCGTTTTACATGTGTATTTAAGCTTCAGGCATTTTTGTTTTAGATAAAAGCAAGAACGAGGGGGAGAAAATAAATTCTTACAAGCTAACAAAACACACAATAATGCTCGATTCATTTTCAAAATGCTCAGGTGTGAATGGGACCCCCTTCAGCATCTATGTAGTGCATGTTTTTAAGGAAATTTTCATTGAAATGAGCTACCAAATGCGCAGAAATCACATTAAAGGGGTACTGCATTCTATCAACATGGACTACTTTTAATCCTTATGCTAGGCAAATGATGCAATACATCCCAGGAGCCTTCAGGAGGGGAAGGAGAGTTCTCAGCTCAGCATATGCCTGCGCTAAGGGCAGATGGATTCCAGCAAGTAAATGATACATGAATCGCCTGCCCTTACTCAAGATGGCTATTGTCAGAAATGCCAGGGGATGTTTTTCAAAATGATTTCTCAGCACAATACAGCATGAAGACATGGATGGATAGGTGAGTTTGCTTTGAATATTACAACTGAATTAAATAGCATGTTTGGTTTGTGGTACTCAGTGCAGTTCCACTTTAGGAAGTGCATGTACTTTTTTTTCTTTAAACATATTGAACCAACAATTTTGGTCCAGAAGAAGGGAAAAACAACCCTAATCTCTCTTCAAAGGGTAGGAAAAAAAAAAAATTACTAAACCACACGTGACTAATTTCTAGACTACAATATTTTGTACTATCCTTAAAGCGATGCTATACACACAGTTTACTTTACATTATCCTTTCTTTCTGTATATGGATGATAACACTGTAATTAGTTTAATAAACATTAAAAAAAAAAAAATCTAACTTTTTTCTAATCGACATATAGCTGTCACATGACCCAGCTTTCTCCCAAATCTTTCTTATTTTGTGGAAATAACATGGTGTGGGTGGATATCTGCCAGTTACAGTGTCATGCCCCTTCAGCCTGTGTCTTAAAATAACAGGGAGGTGAAACAACCATTAATCTACATTTAATATCCCACCCCTATAGTATGTAGCTGGTTAGTGGGCATGTAGAAGGAGAGAGGGAGTAGGCTGTCACTTACCACTGTATATATGCTGATATGTGTGACTAAATTCCACTTTATTCAAGCATTACAGCTTCTGGCAGTGTTCAGAATTGACATTTCTAGGCGTGTCAGACACCTGGATCCCCCACCAAGTGCTGAGGTTCAACCTGCTGTCTCCTACACACAGGACACAGTAGTGACGCAAGGGCTGGAGGGAGGAACCATTAAAAACAAAAATGGAGGAACAGGCCTCCAATATACTCTGAAGTCACAGTGGCCACATGATCGTTGATCCTTCCTGCCCCCAAGGTTTTCAGAACTTTAAAAAGGGACACTGGGGCGTGAAGGTCCTAAAGTGTGCGGAAAGAAAATAAGTTACAGTGGGGATCGAAAGTTTGGGCACCCCAGCTAAAAATTTGTATTAATGTGCATAAAGAAGCCAAGGAAAGATGGAAAAATCTCCAAAAGGCATCAAATTACAGATTAGACATTCTTATAATATGTCAACAAAAGTTAGATTTTATTTCCATCATTTACACTTTCAAAATAACAGAAAACAAAAAAATGGCGTCTGCAAAAGTTTGGGCACCCTGCAGAATTTATAACATGCACTGCCCCCTTTGCAAAGCTGAGACCTGCCAGTGTCATGGATTGTTCTCAATCATCGACTGGGAAGACCAGGTTATGTCAATCTCAAAGGTTTTAAATTCCCAGACTCATCTGACCTTGCCCCAACAATCAGCACCATGGGTTCTTCTAAGCAGTTGTCTAGAAAACTGAAACTGAAAATAGTTGACGCTCACAAAGCTGGAGAAGGCTATAAGAAGATAGCAAAGCGTTTTCAGATGTCAATATCCTCTGTTCGGAATGTAATTAAGAAATGGCAGTCATCAGGAACAGTGGAAGTTAAAGCAAGTTCTGGAAGACCAAGAAAAATATCAGACAGAACAGCTCGCAGGATTGTGAGAAAAACAATTCAAAACCCACGTTTGACTGCATGATCCCTCCAGAAAGATCTGGCAGACACTGGAGTTGTGGTACACTATTCCACTATAAAGAGATACTTGTACAAATATGGTCTTCATGGAAGAGTCATCAGAAGAAAACCTCTTCTATGTCCTCACCACAAAAATCATCGTTTGAACTTTGCAAATGAACATATAGACAAGCCTGAGGCATTTTGGAAACAAGTTCTGCGGACCGATGAGGTTAAAATTGAACTTTTTGGCCGGAATGAGCAAAGGTACGTTTGGAGAATGGGCACAGAATTTAATGAAAAGAACCTCTGTCCAACTGTTAAGCATGGGGTTGGATCAATCATGCTTTGGGGTTGTGTTGCAGCCAGTGGCACAGGGAACATCTCACGAGTAGAAGGAAAAATGGATTCAATAAAATTTCAGCAAATTTTGGATGGTAACTTGATGCCATCTGTGAAAAAGCTGAAGTTAAAGAGAGGATGGCTTCTACAAATGGATAATGATCCTAAACACACCTCAAAATCCACGGGGGATTACATCAAGAGGCGTAAACTGAAGGTTTTGCCATGGCCTTCACAATCTCCTGACCTCAACATAATTGAAAATCTATGGATAGACCTTAAAAGAGCAGTGCGTGACAGACAGCCCAGAAATCTCAAAGAACTGGAAGACTTTTGTAAGGAAGAATGGGCAAAGATACCTCAAACAAGAATTGAAAGACTCTTGGCTGGCTACAAAAAGCGTTTACAAGCTGTGATACTTGCCAAAGGGGGCAGTACAAGATATTAACTCTGCAGGGTGCCCAAACTTTTGCAGACGCCATTTTTTTGTTTTCTGTTATTTTGAAAGTGTAAATGATGGAAATAAAATCTAACTTTTGTTGACATATTATAAGAATGTCTAATCTGTAATTAGATGCGTTTTGGAGATTTTTCCATCTTTCCTTGGCTTCTTTATGCACATTAATACAAATTTTTAGCTGGGGTGCCCAAACTTTCAATCCCCACTGTATATGTAAAGCACTTCGTAAATTGACAGCGCTATATAAGTACCTGTAATAAATAAATATTGGGAAAGGTTTCAGAAAATCGATTTTTTATATCTAAATAAGCAGTTGAGCCCTATGAACACCTTGATAGGTTACAAGGGTTAAAGTAGTATAAAACCATCAGTTTAAAAATTATCGGTAATATATGCAAGTCCATCTTTTATGTTCAATAACTGCATTATTTCACACAGAATAATTCCAGTTTTCAACTTTTTTTTTTTACCTTATCCAGACGCCCCCCTTTGCTCTGTTAAATACACCATTGCAAGCATTTGGTTATACCTGTTAGATATGAGCAAAAAATACCTGTTGTTATCTTCCTGCACTGACTGTTATCAGTTACTATTGTTATGAAGAAGAGGGCAAAGGGAGGCGTTCTGTAGTCCTGTCCAGTTTTGTTGTCCTGATGCAGTATAGTAAGGGTGCAGTGTCACCCTGGGATAAAATTTGTGTTACTGGCAGCATCACCGGTTAAAATAAAGTGGAAAAAGTCTAAAAAAAAAAAGAAAGCTAAATGTTGCCACTACCTGTGATAAGCTGAAATATATTAAAAATGTTCTTGGTTTTAATAATTGTCACAGAATGCAGCAATATCTAGGATGTGGTGTCAAATTATTAGGCTGCATACTGTTTTTAAATGGCTATAAGCTATATGTGTTTCTGTATATCTGTTACTATATTAAAAAACAAAACAGAGTTGGATTGAGCTGGGGGATCTTTTCCTCTTCTTCGATTTCTGAATTTTAATTGCTGGTAGAAGGATCCAAGGACCTCAAGGTGGCTTTCAGGAGAAGAGTTGTTATATAACAAACCCTCGTCGACCATGGACAACTGGATTATCATTTGGCAGTACCTTAAAGTCTCCACAAATAATAATGTAGAGTTAGGTAGTTTTCCAATATGTACATATAAATATTTATCATTGTAGATTTTATTTTTTTTTTAAATATAAAAAGGACTTACATTTCAGACTGTATTATAACAGCTTTATTTAACCCAAATGTTCCTTCCTTATCCAGTACAGCACTGCAAAAAAATAATGAGGATGTGCAAAGCGCAGCAACCAATCAGCACCCATTCATCAATCCAATTTGAGTAAGCGGAAACAGGATTGGCTGCTATGGTCTAATGCACTCTGCCTATCATCACTGGTCTCTGCACTGCCTCAGTGAATAACCTTAACATACATACATACAGCAATGATATGGCAGTTTTTGGAGAAACAAATGACAAGTCCCTGTTTATTTGAAGTCCTCTGTATAACTACTACTCAGGTTATCAGTGGGCTGCGACATCAGCAGAAGGCTTGCAGTGCCATGCTTTCCTTGCTACAGATATCCATCAAGATTCAGACAACAGTTAGACCAACCCAAATATGATAATACGGATCAACAAAGTTGAGCTAAATCACATACTTCTCGTGTCTCTCAGAATCCACTAGTGAAATTCCCAAGCTAGAAGAAGGCGATTTAACTCACAGGTATCTAACCAATAATGACCAATCATTTTTGGATGGACAATTCTTAAAAGGAAGCTATTTTTTCTTCATTGCTCTCTTGCCTTCACCCTTTTTGGGTGTGCTTTTGCCACGGAGTTTGCGAAGTCGTTTCATTTCTTCCCTGAAATCTTCATGTTCATCCCTACAAGAAGATAAAAGATAAACCCATCACTACCAAATGGTCTCTATGTTGTACGTTGATTTGCAGAATCACCACATGAATATGTACTCCTCACTTGGCCTCAGGAAGCATTAGGATCTTTTTGTACCTGCAGCCTTGTCTCCAAGCTTTGAATACCTAGATAACTACCCACATGGACCTACTGTAGTTAGCTACATGGGTGAATCTTGTGATCAAGCTGTCTGCCTCAGCTGTAGATATATCATGATGTTTCTAAACAGAGCATCCATATCTATAAGGCACAATCAGATTAAATATTTCAATTAACCACAATAAAGGTTGATTACTGCCTGGTCACTATGGATCACTATCACTACAGGTGGGGCTTATGTAGACTATATTGCCAAATATATAAATACCCATCCAAATTATTGAGTTCAGGTGTTTCCAGTGAGGAAAGAAAGACCTGATCTCAACCCTACTGATTCACCTCAGATGAATTGATTGTCAGCCAGGTCCCCTTATCCAACATCAGTATCTGACCTCACAAATGCTATTTGGCTAAATGGGAACAATATCTGGCAGACATACACCAAAATCTTGTGGAAAGAAAAGTGGAGGCTGTTATAGTCACAAAAATGGGATATAAATACCTATGATTTTGGAGTGGAATGTCAGCAAGTTCATATAGCCTTGATAATGTGGTGTCAAAATTTTGGCCACGTAGTGTACATGGTCATTTGTTATGTAAAAACAGGTTTTTTTCACTAAAGTCATGGCAAATGCAGTTTGAAGTAGCTCAGAAGGAAGTTAGAAGCATCTCAAACTGATCATAAAGCCAAACCATCTGTACCTGAAGAGTGATACATAAGCCCTTTAGAATCTTCAGATACAGCCAAACTGCCACAAAAAAAGCTCTAGTAACCAAAGCTTATAATATGATGCAAGTTGGAAAAACAGGTAACACCAGCAAACACAACACAAATTAGAAAACAAGCCACACAATGATTTACAGAGAGAGTGATCAGACTTCAAGATACGCACAATATAAATACTCCAGGTAGCCAAATATTTTATTTATTCACACAAGACTTTTAAATCTGGATCTGTAGGAGGAGCAATTAGTAGCTATATACTCAGAGGGATATTTTAATATTTGATTCACTGCTGTCAATTTAGCCATGGATTTTTCAGTGTGGAATCCAGGTTTCTGTAATATTCAATGTATTTATAAAGACAATATAACATTAGCTGTTTTGAAATGGTGAATCACTGAACCTGCTTAATCATCTAAGGTCACCAAACTGAAAACAAGGTACCGTATATGAGCATCTATAACTGTATAAAGTATATATAATGTGAGACAAAACTTACTGGATCCAATAGAGGGCCAGCTGAAAGCTATGCACCTATACCAAAACATACATGCATGTATACCAAGACATACACACTGATCAGCCATAACATTATGACCACTGACAGGTAACATGAAAAATACTGATTATCTTGTTACAATCTAAAAGTGGGTAGGATATATTAGGCAGCAAGTGAACATTTTGTTCCTGAAGTTGATATGTTGAAAGTAAAAACAAAAAGGGTAAACATAAGGATTTATGTGACTGACTGGGGCCATAGTGTAATGGCTAAGTGACTGGGTCAGAGCAACTACAAGACTGCAGCTCCTGTTAGATATTCCTGGTCTGCAGTGGTTAGGACCTACAAAAAGTGGTTCAAGGAAGGAAAATCGGCAATGGGGTTATAGGCGCCCAAGGCTCTTTGATGTACATGGGAAGCCAAGGTTGGCCCATGTAGTCCAATCCAATAGAAGAACAACTGTAGCTCAAATTGTTGAAAAAGTTAATGCTGGTTCCCATAGAAAGGAGTTAGAACACACAGTACATCGCAGTTTGTTTTGGATGGGGTTGCGCAGCCTCAGACCAGTCAGAGTGCACATGCTGACCTGTGTCCACAGCCAAAAGTGCCTACAATAGGCTGATGAATCACATTTTCTTTTACATCATACGGATGGCTGGGTGCGTGTGTGTCACTTATCTGGGGAAGATATGGCACCAGATGCACTATGGGAAGAGGGCAAGCCAACGGAGGCTTAAAGCAGAGCTCCACCCAAAAGGGGAAGTTCTGCTTTAAGGACTGCTCCCCATTAAGGATCGGCATCTTTGGTGGGCGGGGGGAGTGGGTACCAAAATTTGACAGGTACCGGCTCCCAATTGCGGTCGGACTGCCTAGGCCAGTGGTCAGCAAGCCGCGGCTCGCGAGCCACATGCGGCTCTTTACACACTTTAATGCGGCTCTTCTGTGTGCCGGGCGCCCGCTCCCCTCCCTCCTCTCGGGCGGCCGCCCCAAAAGTCAGGACTCTGCAGCTAGCCCAGCAATGGGCAAACTACGGCCCGCGGGCCGTATACGGCCCGGCGGACCTTTTAATCCAGCCCGCGGAGCGTGGCAAACATTGGCTGTCAGGATGTAGGCGGGGCAGCGTGACGAACTCCTCTCACAGTCCGCCCTGAAGACCGGAACGGCGTGGGAACACGGCGAGAGGAACGCGCGGAGCAAAGGTAAGTGAATTGACACAATATGGGGAATGAATTACTGTAGGGGGGGATGAATTACTGTAGGCGGGATGAATTACTATAGGGGATGGGGGGGGATGAATTACTATATGGGGGATGTATTTTCAGTATTAAAAATGTGGCTCTCAAAATAAATTTCAATCGTGGTTTTGGCGAGATTTGGCTCAGTTGAAAAAAAAGGTTGCCCACCACTGGCCTAGGCGATCGGAAATGGAAAGTGTCCTCCCCTTCCTTCCCTCCCCGTAGTCTTCTGGGACACATGACAGGTTCCAGAAGACTACAGGACCATTCATGAAGCACAGCACTACTGGAGCATGTCCAGTGGGTACCCGGCTGTGAAGCTGCAAGCAGTCACAGCCGGAAGCCCACACTGAAGATGCCGGCCTCCAGGAAGGCAGGTGAAACGGACTGCGGGGGGACACACCACAGGACCGAGGGACAGGTAAGTGGCTGTTTTTTAAAAGTCAGCAGCTACAGTTTTTGTAAATGTTGACTTTTATTTTTTGACAGGGTGAGTGGAACTCCGCTTTAAAGGATCTACTACTGATGGCTTGGTGCTAGATACCACAAGATACTTTCAAAGGTCTACTGGTGTCCATGCCTTGACAGGTCATGGTTGATTTAGTGGCAAAAGTGGGACCTTCTCAATGTTAGGTGGGTGGTCAAAATGTTAAGGCTAATAAGTATATATAGATAACAAAAACAATGTATTTTCCCCTGTCATTTACATTGTACTAAGTTTGGTAGGCCTTTGTAACATTATAATTTGTAAATCTAAAGGCGATTGTAAGATGTATATCAAGTTTAGCGCAGCTCCTTCCAGATCTGTGGCTGGTTCCTCTAATGATCTGTCATACAATAGATCGTTCCATGTAGAAGTTTTTTCTACTGAAACTTCCAGAAAATACAGGTGCATACTACATGCAGTCATTTGAGCATCTCAAAGTGCCCCTGTCACCACAGCATCATTTCTACGCATGAGGCAGACTGTAAAAGTAAGGAAATATACTTACTTTTCCAGTGTGCATGGGAGAAGCCAATGGTTTGCTGCTCCCTGGCTATTGCAGGTGTTCAACTTTTCAAGTAGGTCAATTACCTGCTACCTCCACCACATGCTGGGGTCCTGCCCGCTGGTTTGTGCATCCTATAGTGACATCTAGCCACCAGATGGAACCACAGCATGCGGCAGGGGACTAGATATCCTCTCTGAAGTGTCAAATACCAGCAACAGCCAGGAGGCAGAAAGGCGGCATTTTTTTGAAACACAGAAAGTTGGAAAGGTAAGCATGTTGTTTCTTCTTTTGCAGGCTGCCTTGTGTGTAGACGTGACACTGTGGTGACAAGGTCATTTGAAGATGGCACCCAAACAAATATTAAAAATATTGTTTGCCCAAACAAATACAACCAAACATTTTGATTTAAATTGTTACTAAACCCACAACAGTAAAATCAGTCTATATATGTAGTAAAGCATGCTTGTTATACTCACTGTGGAACCTAAGGGCTAATTCTCTGCCTTGTGTAAAAAAGATGTTTTATCCTGTCTTCTCTAATCCTCCTCTTTTTCTACTGTCCCCAATATATCTCCTGATAGAACAGAGGCCTGGGGGCAAGCTGCACATGCGCAGCTTGGTGTGTATTGCTAGAGAGTTTTTTCTTGGGAGAGTGCATCAGCACAGGGCTAATCAGCGCTGTCCAGACAGAGGATCAGGGGTCCTACAGCCTCATGGGGGAGAATTAAAACTCCTCCTACAACCTTTAAACAGTGTTTTGTTGGACACGGACAGACGTCACAAGACTACTATATACTGCTGATGAGAAAAGGTATTTATCAGTTCACTGTGGGAGACCAGATATAGTGAATGCAAGGTCCTGGGTTTAGTAACATTTTAAGTTGAAGATTCATTAATCCAGAACTATAAAAAAACAGACATGACGTATAGTAAATTACCTATAGAGGCCCAGATATCTCAGATTGCGCATTAGTGGGTTATAGATATCGTGCGGTGGGTACCACTTGTAGACCTCTTTCCTTTTGGCCATTGGCGGCTCGCTGAAAAGCTTCACTACTTTCATAGACTTACTATCCGTTGGCCGCACAACCTCTCCAAATATTCTGGCGCTCAGACAACGCATGCGGAAAGCGTAGTTCGACAAGGTGGACATGGCTGGACTGCCGTAATCTCTCACTAAGGTGAAACATAAGGCATGAATTGTAGATACTGTATGACTATATATTTAAAGTTATTATCCAGATTGAATATCAGGGGACACAAACTGCCAGATGTACCGTATTTTTCGCTCCATAAGACGCACTTTTTTCCCCCCAAAGAAGGGGGGAAAATGTCAGTGCGTCTTATGGAGCGAATGTAAAGCGGCCGGTCCAGTATTTCTGCCGCCACCATGTCAGAATATCGGGCCAGCCGCTCAGCTCTTCTCTCCTGCAGGACCTTACCTGTTCCTCGCTCCAGCGCTACAGTCTTCCCACGGCGGCTTCTGTGACAGCCGGGTGCCCACTGCGCATGCGCGAGAAGCGCCGCGCTTTGTGAATGGTCTAGTGTCTTCTGGGACGCATGACAGGTCCCAGAAGGCTCCGGGCCATTCACAAAGTGCAGTGCTTCTCGCGCATGCGCAGTGGGCACCCGGCTGTCAGAGAAGCCACCGCGGGAAGAAGAGGGAAGGACAACTCCGCGGAAGTGGGAGCGGGTACCTGTCAAATTCAGGTACCTGTTCCCCTCCCACCCCAAAGGTCCGCAGTCTCTGGTCATCTGTACTGTGTCCGCAGTCTCTGGTCATCCCCTGCACTGTGTCCGCAGTCTCTGGTCATCCCCTGCACTGTGTCCGCAGTCTCTGGTCATCCCCTGCACTGTGTCCGCAGTCTCTGGTCATCCCCTGCACTGTGTCCGCAGTCTCTGGTCATCCCCTGTACTGTGTCCGCAGTCTCTGGTCATCCCCTGTACTGTGTCCGCAGTCTCTGGTCATCCCCTGTACTGTGTCCGCAGTCTCTGGTCATCCCCTGTACTGTGTCCGCAGTCTCTGGTCATCTCCTGTACTGTGTCCGCAGTCTCTGGTCATCTCCTGTACTGTGTCCGCAGTCTCTGGTCATCTCCTGTACTGTGTCCGCAGTCTCTGGTCATCCCCTGTACTATGTCCGCAGTCTCTGGTCATCCCCTGTACTGTGTCTGCAGTCCATTGGTTCAGAATATTTTTTTTCTTGTTTTTCTCCTCTAAAACCTAAGCGCGTCTTATGGTCAGGTGCGTCTTATGGAGCGAAAAATACGGTATGTCTAATTTTTCTCTCCAGGATTTATCCCATGCAGCAGGCTGTCTGCTATTGCAATTTCTGTGGTTGCCAGCAAACTTATCTTTTAAACCTTGAATTGCAGCATGTGAAGATTTAAAGCTGAACTCTGGGAAATAAAACTTTCATTTAAATATATTCCTAAGTAGCCATAAAATGATATATATCCACTTTGTGTCACTAAAAACAGACAACTTTATACTTCTGTAGATTTACGCTAAGTGTGTTCCCAGGTTCTAGAACCATCCCCTTTGTAAGTCCACAGAAACCTTGCCAGAGGCTGCATCCTCCTAAAGGTGCAGTGGAAAGGCTGATGACTCTTGCAAGGAATTACATAAGTACAAAATGAAGCAAACTTTAGCAGGCCAGCATTAGCAGGTCACTAATTAAAGCAAGACTCCAGTCAAATATTATATTTTGGGAAGAGTGGGAAAGGGCTAGAGATTGCCTGGTTTGTAGTGCAGTCAGTGTCCCTTTAGGAGAAATATAATTTATATCCTGTAGTTGGGCTTGAGGGCCGGTTCACACCGGGAATCCAACGCATTTCTGTGCGGTACAATTCTGCAGTCCATTCATTTAAATGGGTCGCAAATGGCACTGGGATGCAGAAACAAATAGCACCACACTACTTTAAAAAAATATGTTGCACCAAACTGCATGGTACTGAGGTACAATGAGTTTTGGTGACTGCAAACGCACAGCACTTGCTATCTGCCTTTGGGGTGCCGTGGTGCGGGAAATGCATATGGACTGCTCCTTTCCTGCACTGCGTTCTGGTGTGAACTGGCCCTTAAGATGTGTGTAAATCAGGGGTAGGCAACCTTTGAGAGGTGAAGATCTACCTCAACAACATGAAAGATCACGGGTTCAGTGCCACTTAAACATAAAAAAAAATAACTAGCAAAGCCTAAATAAATAGCAAGGAAAATGAAGAAAAATATAATAAAACAAATGTTCTTGTAAAAATACAAACTTAGCCTACCTTAAAAATGGATGGTGTCAGTCAGCAGGGCAGTGGACGGGGTCAGTCAGCAGGGCAGTGGACAATGTCAGTCATTTTTATTTTAATATTTTTCACTATTTTTTTTTTTTTTTTTTTTTTTTTTAGGAGCCCTGTTGAAAAGGGGGGGGGGGGGGGGGCTGCAAGTGGCTGGGGATTGGGATTTTTCTGCCCCCCAGCTACTCTAGTGCCCTAAGCAAAATCACGATCTCCAGCCACTTGCTGGGAATTCAGATTATTAAAATACCTGTCCATAGGTGGGAAAGGGGGAGGGGAAGCTAGAGGTCAATGCTATGGGGGAAAAGGGGGCCAGAGGACACTACTGCGGGGAAAAGGGGGCCAGAGGACACTACTGCGGGGAAAAGGGGGCCAGAGGACACTACTGCGGGGAAAAGGGGGCCAGAGGACACTACTGCGGGGAAAAGGGGGCCAGAGGACACTACTGCGGGGAAAAGGGGGCCAGAGGACACTACTGCGGGAAAAAGGGGGCCAGAGGACACTACTGTGGGGAAAAGGGGGCCAGAGGACACTACTGCGGGGAAAAGGGGGCCAGAGGACACTACTGTGGGGAAAAGAACAAATTGTATTTAAAACAAATTGTATTTAAAACTAATCATTAATCAAAACAAGCAAAAAAAAATGTTTTGTTTTAATGGTCAGCAGACTGAAGCACATCCCTTTGACCTGTAAATAAATGGAGCAGAGTAATGTAAAAGAAACATGTTATTTGTATCTTTTGATCTCTGTAACACTGTCAATTTTTAACAATAGTAGCCATTATACTTGCTGTATTTACACAGCAACTCCCAACTGTCATTTTGATAGTGGGAAACAGCAGAAAGTGCGTGGGAGAAGCAGCACAGGGGCAGAAGAAAAAGACTGTATGGTACATCCAATGACCGCAATTGATTGAACGTGTCACAGCACTGGTGCTTTGGTGTCACAGAAAATGATTCACATACTATTCTATAACTGGAGGTAACAGATATTTTCCACAATAGCAACTGCTAAAAAGGAGAAGTGAGTTTAGAAAATAAAAAAGGTGACTGTGTGCTGCTGTGGGTTGGGAACATCAAAGTGACCCTGTCATTAGACCATTCATTGCAGCAACACTCTTCCCATAGCAATATATGTGCATTTAACATATTTTATGCATGTTATCTACCTATACATGTGTAGACAACCAATAGCCTTGAGACTGCTGCTGTCAATCCCCAGCAGACTCAGAGCTGTTATTTATTCCAGTATTCCCCTTTGCTTTTCCCCTGACAGTTACATAAAAAGGTATGTAGGGAAGTAGGGGGAGGAGTGAAGGAGCTGGGCCAACACAGACAGCAATCAGATACTCCCGGAAGAGGAGTGGGTTATAAAATGCAATACGGAAGGGGCTGCACTAGGGAATTAACACTTCCTGAAGTGTCAATTTCCTAGCAAGGTCAGAGGCACCTAGTAAATCAATAAAAAAAAATTACGAAAAGAAAAAACACCGCAAGTAAGCATTTAAAATACTTGATTCTTCAGGGACTCAATCTAAAAAAATTAAAAAAAAAAAAAAAATATCACATTAAACATTGCTACCCATATGTACATATGTATAGTAAACAAAACCTATGTTTTTAAGTGGATGTAAAGCCACAAGGCTTTTTACCTTCATGCATTCTATGAATGAAGGTGTAGAAACCTTTTGTGTGTAGCAGTGCCCCCAGCCCCCTCAATACTTACCTATGCCCCATCGCTGTCCAGCGATGTGCACGACAGCCTCGGCTGTCCATCATAGCCAGTCAGCTAATGAGAAAAGAGAGGGGTGGGGCCAAGCCGCAGCTCCGTGTGTGAATGGACACATGGAGCAACGGCTCAGGAGTATGCCTGCTTGGATGCCCCCATAGTAAGCTGACAGGAAGGGGGAGCCAGGAGCGCTGGCAGGGGATCCGAGAAGAGGCGAATCATTGCAGCTCATGTTTGTTATTTTGCAGAAAAAAAAAAAAACCTTTAGTATCACTTTAAATATTAGCACTCATTGGCAAGAATGATGTGGGAGCCCATCAATTTTACCAGGTCTAAATAAATAAGCAATTTTTAAAAGGCTGTAAATCCCTTTAAGGAAAGGGCAACCTAGTTATTTTAAACCTCCAATGACAGTTTCTCCAGAATCCTCCTGATGTCTCATACAGCCCAAAAAAATGTGTAACATAAATCCTAATTAAATGCAGTCACCTCTCACATGATGCCCCGTACAAACTCCCTTTAATTTAATGCATGATCACTTAAGTTCCAGGACCTGCCATCAAGCTTGCAGACTATTAATCGAGTCACTTCCAAATAATGCTGACCGGTGTTTTCTTCATCAGTTTGTCACTAATCTGTCAACTTTCGAGCAGAGCAGCGGCCCTGACTGAAAAATGATGAGAACGCAGGTGGGGCCTCTAAAAGGCGCTTAGGGAATTCCTGTCCTGTCAAGTCAATAAAATGCAGAAAACTGACAAGCATTAAGCTAAATTCTTTTCCAATATGCACTCATGGCGTATTTCAATGCAGTGCGTCAGACAGGCAGGGCGGCATAGTGAGCTAAATAAACAAACCATGTAAAACTGAAGGATTATCCTAACAGTCCAAATCAGAATTGCACCAAAAATTAAAAGGAACCTGTCACCAAGAAAAGAGCGCATGTGAATGCTGCAGTTCAATTGAATGAGGCATTGGGGTTGATTTACTAAAAGAAAAGACTGTGGGCAAAATTCACTAAAGCTTATCGCATGAGTTAAAGCAGAGTTCCATTCACACTGTAAAAAAAAATAAAGTCAGCAGCTACAAAAACTGTAGCTGCTGACTTTTAAAAAACAGGCACTCACCTGTCCCACGATCCCGCAGTGTGTCCCCGAAGCCCGTTTCACCAGCCGTCTGGTGTTCCAGGAGCCGGCATCTACAGTGTGGGCACCCGTCTGTGACAGTTTGTGGCTTCACAGACGAGTGCCCACTGAGCATGTGTGAGTAAGCGCTGCGGTTCCTGAATGGCCCCATAGTCTTCTGGGATCTGTCACATGTCCCAGAAAACTACGGGAAGGGAGCGTAGGAGGACAACTGCCGCTTCCGATCGCCTAGGTGATCGCAGTGGAAGTGGGAGCCGGGAACCTGTCAATTTCGGATACCCGCTCCCCAAAGGTGCCAATCCTTAATGAGGAGCAGGGAACCAGTTGTTAAAGCGGAACTTCCCCTTTTGGGTGGCGCTCCGCTTTAAGTCAGTCACATGACCACATATCGCATGCGATAC